TCACTGTTTTGAAAAAACACTTTAACCTTGACATTTGTGAACAAATATCAAAGTTTTATATTTCATATCATCAGAACTAAAATAATATAGACCTCAGTGTTTGTCATTTTCGTAAAAAAAAATAAAAAAATTCAGTGACATCTAGTACTTTAAAACAGATTCTTCATTTGAGAGGCACCAGATTTTATTCTCGTGACAGGGTGTATGGTTTGTGACCAAGAGTGTTTCTAATATATTGTTTGTTGCATTTCAGCTTTGGCACGAAAAGTATGATAAATTCCGGAAGCTTGTGTACTGGTTTGTTCAAGATGTTCGATACTACAATGAGGAAAAGTGAGTATACAGACTTTAATGTGCCATTATTAGTCCCCTACCGGTGAAACCGGGGGGAATATAGGTTTCCTCTCCGTCCGTCTGTGTACGTACGTACTTAACACCAGTGTTTGTCAGCGTTCTAGCTTCATTCCTTGAGGGATTTTGATCAAAACTCACACAATTACATAGGACCATAATATCTCGGACAAGTTCGAGTTTCAGGGTTGTTGGGTCAATATCACCGTTATTATTTTTATAAAATCATTGTCGGCACTCTAGCGGCTTATTTCCTTGAGGGATTTTGATCAAACTTCACACAGTTACAAAGGACGATAATATCTCGGACAATTTCGAGTTTCAGGGTTGTTGGGTCAAGGTCACTGTTACTATTTTTAGAAAATCCTTGTCAGCAATCTAGCGGCTTGATTCCTTGAGAGATTTGGATCAAACTTCACACAATTACAAATGACCATAATATCTTGGATAAGTTCGAATTTCAGGGTTTTTGGGTCAAGGTCGCTTACTGTTTTAAAAAAAATCATTGTCAGCGCTCTAGCGGCTTCATTCCATCGGGGATTTGGATCAAACTTCACACAATTACAAAGGACAATAATATCTCAGACAATTTCGAGTTTCAGGGTTGTAGAGTTTAGGTCAAGGCCACCGTTATTATTAATACAAAATCATGGGCAAGTTGAAGCCTGTGATGGACTGATGATCGATATATAATAATCGAACATCGATCGATTTGTCCTGTTGGATTGCGATTATCGATAACAAATTCCATTATCGATATAATCGGTTCATTACTGAACTTAAAGTGTCAAATGTGTACGTAATATACAGTATACATGGAACTTCATTTATTCTGATTTTTTTTTACAATATGATTGATGGTAATGTAGAATAGAAAAATTACATTAAATTCAGGTACAATCTAATTGTTTACTTTTCATTTTCCCAAATTAACACCAAAGGGCACAGTTTTTATAAATCATTACAGTGTAATAGCTAGCGGGGCCCGGGTGGGTAGGGGACATGTATTGCTTCAGCAATACTCAGTATGCTTGTTAACATTAACTTTAACAAAATCTCAGTATTATATAATTTTGTAATTATAAATATTAGAAATTATTGAAATAATTAAACTTTAATGATAATTGTATTCACTGTTGCCATTTGAATGTAAACAATTACACAAAATGTTCACCACAAATAAGGAAGATTGTTTTAGCTCACATGGCCCGAAGGGCCAAGTAAGCTTATGGGATGGTGCGGCGTCCGTCGTCGTCAATATTTTACTTTAAACAACTTCTTCTCAGTAACCAAAAGGCCTAGGGGGATGATATTTGGCCAGAAGCATGCTGGGATGAAGGGCTACCAAGTTTGTTTAAATAAATGACCTTGATTTATATTCAAGGTCACAGGGGTCAAATATGTTTAAAACCTTTAAACAACTTCTCCTGAATAACCAAAAGGCCTAGGGTGACTAAATTTGGGCAATAACATGCTGGGATATAGGGCTACCAAGTTTGTTCAAATAAATGACCTTGATTTATATTCAAGGTCACAGGGGTCAAATATGTTTAAAACATTTAAACAACTTCTTCTGAATAACCGATAGGCCTAGGGTGATGATATTTGGCCAGAAGCATGCTGGGATGAAGGGCTACCAAGTTTGTTTAAGTAAATGACCTTGATTTATATTCAAGGTCACAGGGGTCAAATATGTTTAAAACCTTTAAACAACTTCTCCTGAATAACCAAAAGTCCTAGGGTGACTAAATTTGGGCAATAACATGCTGGGATATAGGGNCATTTGAACAACTTCTTCTGAATAACCAATATGCTTTGGGTGCATAAATTTGGCCAGTAACATGCTGGGATAAATGGCTATCAGGTTTGTTCAAATAAATGACCTTGATTTATATTCAATGTCACAGGGGTCAAATATGTTTAAAACCTTTAAACAACTTCTCCTGAATAACCAAGAGGCCTTAGGTGATGATATTTGGCCAGTAGCATGCTGGGATGAAGGGCTACCAAATTTGAACAAATAAATGACCTTCATGCATTTTCAAGGTCACAGGGGTCAAATATGTGAAAAAAACTTTAAACAACTTCTTCTGAATAACCAAAATGCCCAGGGTGATGATATTTGGCCAGTGGCATGCTGGCATGAAGGGCTACCAAGTTTGTTCAAATGAATGACCTTGACCAATTTTCAAGGTCACAGGTGTCAAATGTCTTAAAATTTTCAAACAACTTCTTCTCAATAACCAAAAGGCCCAGGGTACTGATATTTGGTCTGTAGCAATCAGGGCTACCAAATTTGTTCAAATGAATGACCTTGACCCACTTTCAACCTAATGTCATTGTTTGACATTCAAGGTCACACTGATATTCTGCCTGTAGCTGTATTTTAGTCCACTTTTAAGATTACAAGTGTGAGATTAATACCAGGTGAGCGATGCAGGCCCATTGGGCCTCTTGTTACTATCACCCTAGTAACGTGATTATATCTAAAGAATATTGATCAAATTTCAATTTTAGATACAAATACTTTTCTTGTAAATTTATCCAAATATATGTTGTGAATTATACCTATTAACAAATATGTGCATCTGAATATATGGATGATTGCAATCAATTTGTTATTTACTGATAAAATAGACAACTATAAAATTTGAACTTGAGTGTAGATTGTTTATGACCTGCAGCATGTTTGATAACTCCCAGCTTATTTAAATTTGTTGAAAATCTAAAAAACAAAATGACCTGGGGCCTGTGTCAATTTGGACTTGAGTATAGCTTGCTTGGGAACCCTGGTTTCTGCATGAAATAAAATCTTTTAAATCTGTTCAAATCTGGATTGTTTATGAACTGGGGCCTTTGTAAATTTGGACGGAAGTCATTATTGTTTGCAGTGTCAATTTCAGACCTCTGAGTTAACATGAAAGAATCAGTAACAGAATTGATAATGTCTATGTTGCAGACCTAATATATATATGATGAACATTTCCTTCTGTTTGTAGCTATGAGAAAGCCATGTCATAGTTCCTACACATATATGAACATAATCAGAAACTTCTGAGCGAGTTTGAGAAGACGACACTGTATGCTTGTAAGATCACACATGACCATGATATTGTATGTATACCATAAAAAAATCTCCGTTTTTAGTGGATTTGTTTCTTTAACTCAATTCACCCCTGAAGACACATGTAAACTCCTCTAGTTCAAAGGTTGGAATAAGTGAAGAAGTCATTTAAGCTGAAAAATACTAATTTTTGAAACTTAAAATGTAACCTCATTTGTTTTTAAAATTAAGAAGTGTCATGAAAAATTTTGTTACTTCGAGTTAACCTAAAAACAAGTGACATAACATGTCAAAATCTGTGCGATGGTTTTGTTACACTGCATAACAGCCTGAGTTCATGATGAACATGTGTTTGTTCCTGTATATCAACTCTCCCTCATATTTGTAAAACAAAATTGCAAACCAAGATGACAATTATCTCCCTTTGACTGTTGGTGGTCATGTGAACAAAGCGTTAACAAACCCTATCATGTACTTAGTCAGACATGGAAGTACAGTAAGTGTGATTATGTGGGCTGTATATATTGAACTATGTAACAGTTTTGATTAGCTTTCTAAAGAATGATATGAATTCAATGAAGAAGAAGGGAAAGGGGACAGATTATTCTTGAAAAATTGTCTTTGAACTTGATCCATTGATACATTTCATAATAAAATTGTATCCGGTGTAGAAGTAATTTCTTTCCCCATCTGAAAGTTTCCACAGGGAAAAAATCAACTAGCCAATTCTTTCCCCGGGGAAGAAATAGGCTAGCTGTTTTGTTTTCCCTGGGGGAAGAAATAAGCTAGCTGTTTCTTTCCCTCCTAGTTTATTTTCCCCCAGGGAAGAAATTAGCCAGTTTATTGCCCCCTTCCTTGTATTGGTTAATGGCTAGTCAATATTTCCCCCCCCCCCTCTGTATAAGTTAATAGGGGAGAAACTATTGGCTATCCCCCCTCCTTAAAAAATCAAACATGAGGGGGGAAAGAATCTACCTGCAAATAAACCCTACCACCCACAAATGAATGCCAAGGGGGTTAAGAACNGTTCCACCCTCTCTTAAAATCAATACCAAACATTTAAAGAGAGGGGGAAATCAGCTAGTTGTTATTTTCCCAGGAGGAAGAATCAGCTAGCTAATTTCTTCCCCCGGGAAAAAAAACTATCTAGTGGATGGAAGAAACAGGAGAAGGGAAAACATTGGCTGTTACATCGGCATGACAATTATTAGTCATAATGGAGCCTGTCCTACCATTACTTCTAGGACCAAGACTTGGGTCTGTTTAGGAGTCTGTTGTAGCAACCTAACAACCCATTATGAACGCCCATATATTATTCCAGGCCCAGTAAAAATCATTGATTGTTTCCCCAAGAAACTAAACATTATGATGTTGTAAACATACTTGATTGTTTCCCTCAGAAACTAAACAATATGCTATAAAATCCCTTGATTGTTTTCACCAGAAACTAAACAATATGATGTAAAAATCCCTTGATTGATTTCGCCAGAAACTAAACAATATGATGTAAAAATCCTTAATAATTTCCCGAGAGACTAAACAATATGATTATGTAAAAATCCTTGTTTGTTTTTTCCAGAAACTAAACAATATGACGGCGGCCCGTTTCCAAGACCAGGATGATGTGACGGACACGCTACACGTGATGAACACACAGATGTTGCCATGCCTACAGCCAATGACACACTCCTCCTCACAGGAAGACATGAGTGCCATGGAGGTGGTGCGGGAAAAGTGGTGTGCCTTCCTAGGGCAGGAGATTAACGGTGAGTTCTAGCGAGGTTAGTGATCGGCAATCGTCTAAAAATCACAATCGATAATCAGTTTGTTATCAGAAGCTGAATATGAGTTGCATAATTGGTATATAATTGTATTGGACTGAATACTAAAATTAAGTGACAAGGGCGGAATTTTGATCAATTACCGTGTAAAGTGTCAAAACAAGATTTGCCCTTGAAACACCCATTCTTAGGTGCATGCCAGAAAAGGCCCTAAGGTACGAAAAATACTTAAAAAGTACTTGAATTTTGAAAGATATCTTGATGATCAATAAATGAATTGATAAAGACCTCCAGCCATACGTATACGGAAACTATTAATATGATTTAAGAGGAAATAAAATGTATCATACGGAAAAGTTAAAGCAATCTTCATTTATAAATAAAACACTGCTGACCCCAGGGTAGTTACTTGTTACACACCCTGTTAAGCAATATTATTTTCCCCCGCTTTCACTGAAACGGGGGGTATTAATTTGGGTTTGTCCGTCCGTCTGTCTGTCTGTCTGTCTGTCTGTCTGTCTGTCTTGTTTGTCTGTCACGCTTCGTTTCCGTGCAATAACTGCAACAAATGTTAACCGATTTTCTTCAAACTTGGTAACAGGGTAAAATGCCTGAATGGCTAAATCTAACGTTAATAATGTTAAACCAACAATATGTCCTGCAAGCGAGGGATATAAATCCACGAATTTGCTTGTTATCTCTTATTTTGGTCGAGATGTACTTAAAGGGGCTGGTCGGGGGAAAATGTCATATTTGCTAAAATGGCATACACATGTTTAAAATACTTCCTTATGAAATATACCGATTCAAATTTTGCTGACATTCACTCTGAAGCAGCATGTTAGGTGGACACGAACACGCAGCGCATATTCTTCTCGATAAGTGGTAAGTGTGCCAGGCTCTCAACTGTTCGCAATTATAGAACATAAGTTGTATATATTTACTTTATGTGAATAATTTTGTTGGCAAACGGTACCTTTAATATGTTATTAGGGCGCACATGTAATAAGTGTCCAGGAAAAATGTAAATTTATGGGAAACTGACACCTTTCTTTCACGTCTGTTTTGTCCGTTTTCAGTGGGGCCCCTTGGGGGGTAATTTTTTACATAAACTAGTGTACAGACAAAACACAATTCTGTTTGGGGTGGTTTTTGAAATTATGAATTGTTTTTATTATTTTACACGTGTTTTTATCTTTATTTTCGGTGTTATGATATAAAATAAGAGTTTTAAAACATCAATTAGTAAATTGTAAGCCCTATCAGACGAGTATAATTTATCTATAATTCTCTTACATCCAAGATGGTAGAGCTACATGTATATGTAATGAAGGACAAAAGTAACTGCATGAAAATACAGATTATACTCTGCTAATAGTGATTACAACCAAATCTACTGTACATGTGAATTATTTAATAATGTTCATGGATCCTGAATTCATAGAACTTTGTTTATATTGACAATATTGACGATATTGACGGAGGAAGGTCTAAAGATGAAGTTGAAGTTTGTCATATACTACTGCAAAAATAAATATTTCCAGTTAGAAATTTCCTACAAAAGTCGCCGGAAGGGGTTGTGGGGGTGTTTGCTGGTTGATTGCTTTGAAAAATGCTCTGATATTATAGTCATAGACAGTACCTGCATTCTGTTTACAGTAAATATAAAAACAAATAGTATAACCCCTTCTCCTTGTATATAAATAGTTCTCATTGATAACGATGATTCATGGTGAACTGTTTTAGCCATCAACCCTTTATTGGTCCAGGGTCAAGGAGAGTGTATATGTGACTCCTATAGCTAATATAACATCCATCACTGGTGGGGGTATCATGAAATTCAGTAAATGTTCAATGATATTTCTTAAATTGTGATAAAAAAAGATATTGGGAGAATATTTTATTTTTCAAATTATTTTTATTTTTTCCATGTTTTAGGTGTGCTTCAGTGACACAAGAAAGTCATGGTGTAACCACTGCCACACCTGGTACATTAATGGGGGTACATGGCACTTCAAGGGAGACACCTACATGTAGCACTTCTCGGTCTAGAAAGGCATCACACACATCTACAGGGGCACCGGTACTGATTACACACCTGCCCATAAAGAACCTAGCCTATCTGTAGATACACTAATGTCCAACGTCTCAGATATAGAGTACCTTCATGTACATGTATGTATATACTTTTATGGAAAATATCACCCACAATGCGACACATAAATTGTCGTAATATATATTATGTATACATCACATGTATGATAGGCTTAGCTAGTAACACTTGTGAAATGTGTACTGTATGTATGTATACAGATGGTAAATTATAATAAAATTAAAACATTGCCATGAGATCTTAGGTCAAAAATTATAATTGTATTTTGCATTAGACCAGTTTTAATTATATGTTCCAGTACGACTTTGTCTGGGCATACTGTTTTACCCCATTCCGCCCGTGTGTTCGTCTGCTGGTTAAAGATTTTCTGTAATTTTGGGTAAATCTAGAAAAGTACGAGTGGTAGGCAAAAGAAACTTGAAATGATGTAACATAATGGATAATGCAAAACAAATATGACATCAGGTTGTGTAAAGCTTTAATTTTCTGACATTTTTGGGGTAAAAATACACATAACTTGTACTTCGCAAGATTTGAGAAATGGTCTACTGCAAATAAAGCATAGGAAAGGCAGCTTTCATGTTTCTAGTGGGTTTTTCCCCAAACATTCTATTTGCCCAGTGATGAATCTACATTTATTTTGTGTGTATCATTTCCAGTTTTGGTAAAACTAGCGGGTTCAATCATGTTACAGTATTTTCAATATTTCCAGAAATGTTATGGTTCCCAACAAAATTTTCTGACTTGCATGCATATTTATCAGTTGGCCCCAGAGGTCCCAGACACAGGGTAGGATAGGGTGCTAAACAGATTTAAAATTTGGTTATGATTATTACATATGTACTACAGTAGATTCACTAGATTGCCTGACACATATTGATGCAATTAATTCTCTGAATCTTACAGGCATAGCCATAGATTCTGGTAAATAATAATTCTTCTTTTATTTTCATATTGCTATCAAAGCAAAAACATACAAAAATATTGATGTACAGGACTACATTTTACACCAAAATACCATACATGAAGCTTGTAAGTGGGGCAACTTTAAAATGAAGAGAGATGACAGACAATATTGAATAAGACTTCCCTTGCTACTCATTTACAATTATAACACATGAACAAATGGTTGTTTGAATAAAATAATGAATGTGTGATTGAACTTCAGCAATGAGATGGATGATTATATCATGTAAAAAACAAAATATGAATGAATGTATGAACTAATGATTGTCTGAGACTCTAAGTATGGTGTACGATAGCCCTCCTGCGAGAGAACATTTATTGTAAAGAAGCTGATACCAGGGCCCCAACCCTGGCAGCTTTCAATTGTAAAAATAAATCTGGAACAATAAAAATTTTGAAAAAAAATGAAAGCATTTTGAGTTTCTCGACTCCTTTCATAAGATCAGTAGACACAACAAAGAAACGGTAACCGACAATATTTGTCTAAAATTGAGACTTGTATACAGAGACTAGTAATTTGTTCTTTGCCTAAACTCCTCGTGGTATGAGGTCATTTAATACAAGAGGCCTTGGAAGGCCCAATATGCCAGTTATTATATTCCAACTTTTATTGGTAACTACATAATGATAAAAGATGAAAGTATACAAATACATGTATACAGCAATTTTGATTATAAACTTGACCTTGAAATTTGACCTGGTGATATTTAACTGTGGCCATGTGACTCCTTGATGGATTCCAACCAATTCTGCTTCAACAAAATTAACCTCTGTAACCTTCACCGTTGGTCGTGCAACCCCTTGTTCTATCTATATATATAACATCCAAGTTTAGAGCCATGAGTCTTACAGTGATTCTGTTATTTGTAACAGACCTGTATTAATTTGTATTCGCATTTTTGGTAACTGAGGGATTTTCAAATCACAGAATATGTATGCAATCATTTTATATATATATATGATATAATTATGTGGTTTATGATTGCATAATTTAAATATTATAGGGCAATTAGTATGTGTAACTTGTGTACATTCAAACATTCTGCTTTATTTATATCACAGTAAATGTAGAATAGATTAAAACTGGATCTTAAAAGTGATGGTGTGCGTAATAAACGTCTATAATCAACTGATAGGCCTATTTATCAAAGTTTCAATGACGCAGGGTCAATATGCCTGTTAACTTGAGGTTGAAACGTTTTCTTCCCTTCAAGTTTGGTCTAGATAAGTCTTTGGGCCGTTTTAATTATCTAATTAGTATTCCCGACAGTCCAAGGCAAACACTTGTTGTGTTTTCATTAACGATATGCTACTGTTGCTTCAAAATAGTAAATACAACTTTACAAATGAAACGATGACATTGATGACGGGATTTAGATTACCCCTCACGGGGCCCCATCGCTGCATTGGACGGTGATTTGCAGTTATTTCCACGTTTATTGACATTATCATCAATACCGTTATGTATAACAACAACATAGAGGTAGGAATACTACACTTGCATCATACATGACCTTTGAAAACAATTATTTACGTATAGTATTGCTGTCTTGTTCGCTAGTTGAGTCCGACATGGCTGATAGACGGCGTGCTATTGTTGATATCTTCATTGCCTCGCTTTCGAAACAACCACGTGACACATATAAATAGATCTACGCTAAATTTACGCGGGGCTCCCCCGATCTTTCAGTGGTCAAAACTGGACATTGCAAGCAGAACTCGACCATCATATTACCGTGGTATAATTTTTGGACGACCAGAGAACGCATTTAGACCCATTTATTGTGTAATTTTTTCCCCGACCAGCCCCTTTAAAGTAATATTTGGGTTCCATCTACTGTGGCATTTTTGTTCTAATGGTACTATAATCATGTATACATTTTTCTATTTCACAGCTCGCAAAATTGAGAAGCTCCAAGATTTCATGTCAAAGTTGTTTGATCCGCCGAGCAAACACGTCCCCCTGCTCTACAGACTGTTCAGATGCAGGATTTACGGGACTTATACTGACAGTATGTAAATGTGATAGACAGCGCTGTCAACAGTGGATCAGTGGAAAAGGCACTTAAATGTCAGTGACGGTCAACATCGGTCAGTACAGAGGATCAACGGTCAATGTTTGGTCGGCACAGAGGATCAGCGGTCAATGTTTGGTCGGCACAGAGGATCAACGGTCAATGTTTGGTCGGCACAGAGGATCAACGGTCAATGTTTAGTCAGTACAGAGGATCAAGGGTCAACATTGTCAGTACAGAGGATCAACGGTCAACATTGGTCAGTACGGAGGATCAACGGTCAATGTTTGGTCATCACAGAGGATCAACGGTCCATCTTTGGTCGGCAGAGGATCAACGGTCAGCATAGGTTAGTACGGAGGATCAACGGTCAATGTTTGGACATCACAGAGGATCAACGGTCAATGTTTGGTCATCACAGAGGATCAACGGTCAGCATTGGTCAGTACAGAGGATCAACGTTTAGTAGTAGGAACAATTGAAATGTCCTTAGAAAACCATTGCAGTGTTGTCAGAGGCAATAAACAGTTGGCTTATTATCAATGTCAAATCATTGAAGTGTTGTCGCTGATGAAACCATTGAATCATTGCCAGGTCCAGACGGTTAACTGTTGTCGCTGAGGAACCATTGAATCATTGCCAGTTTCAGACGGTGAACTTTCTCGCTGATAAACCATTGAATCATTGCCAGGTTCAGGCGGTTAACTGTTGTCACTGATGAACCATTGAATCATTGCCAGGTTCAGACGGTTAACTGTTGTCGCTGAGGAACCATTGAATCATTGCCAGGTTCAGACGGTGAACTTTCTCGCTGATAAACCATTGAATCATTGCCAGGTTCAGGCGGTTAACTGTTGTCACTGATGAACCATTGAATCATTGCCAGGTTCAGACGGTTAACTGTTGTCACTGATGAACTATTGCATTTTTGTCAGCTTCAAACGCCTAACTGTTGGCACTGATAAACCATTGAATTGTTGTGAGCTTAAAACGCCTAACTGTTGGCACTGATCAACCATTGGATTGTTGTGAGCTTCAAACGGCTAACTGTTGGCACTGATAAACCATTGAATTGTTGTGAGCTTCAAACGGCTAACTGTTGGCCAAGTTCGATGACCACTTTCAGAAAACGCCATTTGGCTGATTAATGGCCCCTTGAACTACGAAAAACATCATTATCTGCTGCATTTCGTTTCTATGCAATAACTACACGAATGTTAACCGATTATTTTCAAACTTGGTCACAGGGTAAAATGCTTTAAGGGCTCGACCAAGTTCGATGACCAGTTTCAGCGAACCCCATTGGGCGGAGTTATGGCCCCTTGAATAACGAAAAACAGCCTTATCTGCCGTTTCTGTTCATTTACTCTTACAAATATTATCCGATTGTCTTCAAACTTAGCAACAGGGTTCAACGCATTAGGGCTCGGCCATGTTTGACAACCACATTAATCGGACTCCATTTGGCAGAGTTATGGCCTCTTGATTAACGAAAAACGTCATTATCTGCCGTTTCCGCTTAATAACTCTAGCAAATATTAGCCAAATTCCTTCAAACAATGTTTATGTTCCTCGGTCTTTCGACCCATCTCCGCCCCTCTTTGGTTTTCGTGTGATAATGGCTGTAGATATTGTTCAGATGTTTCAACCGAATTCCGTATGCACATCCGACTCATGCTAATTTTGCCAACCGATGTGATTTGTGCATATTTACGGACAATCAATGAGGTATAGGTCATTTTTGTTTCAAGCTATACATGATGTCTCAACTGCACGATACTCACATTTTTAAACCTAACCTCAATAATGTTAACCTACAATATGTCCTGCAAGAGGGGGATATACATTCCACAAATTTGCTTGTTGGGATTTCATTTGGCAGTCTCAATGATTTTTTTTTTTTTAAAAACGCTCCAGACACAAAAATTCTGCTGAATAACTTTGATGTACAGTCAAAGTATTGCCTACCTACACTATTCAGTTCCGTGGAAGTTTTTGAACAGCCAAAATTAAAGTATAGGTAACCATATGCATGTTGAAGGTATAGCATAGAGGTACACTACTGTAACATGGGCAGGTATTTTAGCCTTAAAATAGCAATATCAACTTTCAGTAAAATAGTTCTATTTAAAACTTAATTACTAGATAATTATGTGTTCACAATATATTTTTTTCCATTTTCATTCATCCAAACAGACTTTGTTTCTACAAAATGAAGATCTTTGGATCATTAATGAAACATGAAAAATCAGAATTTCTATCAATTCTGAATGTAGCTAGTACTGCCCAAAACCAAACCTAACCTATTAGCTAAGGTCAAGACTGATGATTGAGATATCATTGTACTTCTTACCGATTTGATGCCAAAACTAGTCAAACAATGTAGGTGATTTTATGTTGACGTTAAATCTTGTCAAATTCGACATTAGAACAGATGTGGAAATTGTAAAATTTAAGGTTACTGATATTCTAGCAAAAAATTGTAACATTGAAAGTTTTTTCCTAAGAATAATTTTGAAGATATGCATGTTGATTGAAATGGCTCACTTGCTTGTGTACCTAGTGAAAAGCCATACCCTAAGATCTGAGGTTTCTTCGCATTAGAATAGACACATATCTAACGATTTGATACATGTCACTTATTTATATTGCTTAACCCTTTCACCCCTAGGTGACTTTAGTAGACTCTACCACTCATTTGTTAGGATGAATCCATTATGGTTTACAGTGATGAAAGGGTTAAAGAACTGGAAAATGTGAACTCTGTGATCTTCAAAAAATTGTTAAAAAAATGGAACTGGTTTCTATTTTGTCAGTGTTTTAAAATAATGTTTTTATTGCTGTTTTCTTTATCACATGGCAAGCTTGTTGAAAGATTCAATAGTTCTGTTTTAGTTAATTCTGGAAATTTCATTTTGATTACAAATAAAATTTGGGAGATGGAATTTGGTTTCCCAAGTAGGTGAATAATCATGAAAGGCTGATTGTGTAAAGGACAAGTTAAAATTGAAACTAATTTTACTTGATCTTGAAGGTAATTCATAATAAAAAATATGTCGGAGAAGTTAAAAAATATTGTCATGATAAATAGCAATTGTTTTAAATATTTTTGACAAGATTTTGACTAAGGATTTTATGTTCAGGGTGAGTCCTGTGTTCTTAATTTTTTTTCTTTAGTTTATTTGGTTTTTCTTGTATGCATCTTTTAACCCTTTCACCCCAACGTAATTTTAGTTAACTCTACCATGCATTGATCTAGATAAGTCCATTGGAATACAATGGTGACAATAAACTTTTTCAGATTCGCTTTTAAGCTTTTCATTCTAACCCGAGTTTCTGCTGATTTTAGGTACGTTTTAGTATCATATTCTTGTTATTCGAAATTCAAAATTAATAAAAATCCATACAAACAGTACGCTATAGGAGGCAATCTTACTGTGTTTTGATCAACTTCAACATTGTGTCTTGCTGTTTGAAAGCTGAACAAGGACCTCATGATTTCTTTGCGTGGATAAAGAATGGATCTATATGTAAGTTCAGCACAACAGTTATCCCAAGATTCACCAAAATCTTTCTGAGTAAGGACAATGTTTTTGTAACCAACCATATTTTACCTTTACCGTAACGTTCAAACCACATTATAAGCACGGTTAGTAAAATTTGTTGGCTAAACTTTAGCTTTAAAACTGTTATATACAAAAGATTTTTCAATTATTCTGGCACTTTTCTTTGGAATAACATTTTAATTGAGGTTCCTTAACGAAACTTAGGAACTTCAGGAAAAATGACCGTATTTATAGAATTATTGCTGAAAATCAGCTGGAACTCTTCATAAGGAGAGAGATATTTGCATTGATGTGTTACTATTTATATGAACTACCTGTATATAGTGCGTTACGAGGTAGATACGCGAGTGTTGCCAGGTTGATTTGCTACCTGTATTAGATAGACGCTATACCTGCTGTAAATATGTACCAAAGGTAGCTTCACTGCTTTGTTCATAGTACCCCAGACTGTACAGTAATGTTGAAAGTTGAAATGAGAGGAAATATATCTGTGAGAGTTGTTCAAAAAGAATAAAAAATTGAAATCTTAAAGAAATTGTGTTATATTTTATATTCTGTTCCAATGGAAGGCTGGTAATGTTGTTCTGTATTAGTTCTCAGACTCTGGTATCAAGTTTCATTAATTTTATCAATCATAAAGCAAAGATTCAAAATCTTTGATATTTTCATAATTATTAAACTGAAAGCGAAATCTACATATCCTGGAATTAAAAATAGCTTCTTATACCAGATCAAGATATGACTACCAAAACATTCTGCGAAACATTTAATATGAAATAGAAGTGAAAACTGATGAACTGTTTCCTGAAATATAACAAAATGGATTTTGAATCGGTTGAATTCACAAGAAAAATAATAATAATAATAATTTGAGATACTTAAGAACCGCTTTCATCACAACCTAGTTCGTAGGTCGTCTCAAAACGGTTCACAAATTATTATTCGTGGTTAAAGGGTCTTTGCAACCAGCTAATATCTTTCTCAACTCCCTGGGTAGCATACAGCCGGTGCTGCCATTACGTCGCTCACAGCTAGCATTCTACAATTCTAGTACTGCCCAACCACGTACTCATTTACAGCTGAGTAGACTGGAACAAGTGGAGTAAAGTATCTTGTTAAAAAAATACAAATTGGTGCCTTGATGTGACTCCGTAACCCTTCAGTCATGAGCCCGGCGTCCTACCACTAGACAACCATGCCTCCTAGAATATACAACTTGGCCTGTGACCTTTCCTAATGGCAGGTCATCCATCAACATATTCTTCTTCATAACAATAATGACAATAGTCATCACATTTGGTCAGCAATTTGCCGGAGTGCAGGGATATCAACACTGCAATTAACTACCTTGAACCACTTTCAATTCAAAAATGTTCAATCTTTAGAACCTTGAGGCCAGGATTCATTACATTTGACCTGTAGTTTTATCCAGGGATTGAGGTCTACTAAGTTTGTTCAAAAGATGACCTTGACCAACTTTCAACATAATCCAGTGATAAATGGTAAACATTTAAAATTATTTTTACAGACTCCAGAGGCAAAGTGTCATAATGTTTGTAGCATTCTGGATTTAGGAGCTAGCAAGTTTGTTCAAGTGAATGACCTTGACATTTCTCCAGGGTTACACTAGTCTTATATGTACTGCAATTTTGTGTTCTGAATATTTAAGATGGTCTAGTAAGGTTGTTCAAATTAATGACATTGGCCCTCTTAATGGACACAATTACAATGTAACATATCCATGTAACTTCTACAGACTGCAGAACTACAACGTCAAGAGTTGTAAAAATGGCTGCATCTTTCTCATGTGTATAGATATTACGATTTTCATATGAATGACATTGACCCCAACTCAAATTGTTATACTATCGCTTCAACCGATTGAGCGACTTGGTGAACGGACGTGGCCTGTCCAAACTGTACTACAGTTATATCTGAACGGAAACTTGGTATCCAGAGAACAGAGTGGGAAGCACTTTGTGACCGTAGTTTACTAGCAAAGATTTACACTTTAAATAAACAACATGAATTTCATGCGCTAGATTTGTGAGGAATTACGTGACTTTAAACCCAGCTCTTCTTTCTTCCAAAGTGGAGAACAGCATCGAACATTGTTCAGAATACAGATTAAATTCAACAATTTTTATAAGGGATTCTAAGAAAATATGAATTACTTTCTACGAACATATGAATAACTTTCATGCTCCAGTTTCAGGAACGTTTTCTTACTTATTAATAAATTCCTTAACCGTATTCTTTAATTGATTTGTTTCACGTAGAAAAGTAGTTAAGGAAATTTTCTCAATATTGGATGTTTTCTTAGCTGCCTTTCTACGTGAAACATACAATTACGGAATTCAATTTAGGAACATTGTTTTCCTGTGGATAATTATAGGTCAAAGAATTTCCTCTAGTTAATGAACGTTCGCGAAAATGTTACAGAGTAGTCAACAGCGTCAGCAGTTTCTACGCATTCTTTACCAGGAATGTTGATAACATGCAAATTTGTTGGTGATTTGTCAAATGGAAGCGCACTCATATGTGCTTTTCTCAAAGACTGTCTGAAATCAATTCCGTGAATTTCTCTAGATACTCCCGTTTTTCCAATACATAACACTCTATTCAAAACATTCTGTCGATACTGAAAAAGATTAAAAAAAAAATTAACAAATGATTATAACCACATAGGAGTACATTTTTATTGAAACAAGGCAAATTATTGCAAAACAATCCATAATTCCCGCATGAAAAATAATTTCCATATTTAACAAACACTACACTTATGTCAGGAAGCAAAGGTCACAGTGGTATTATAGTGACATACTCCTTGCACTCCGCCATCCCAAGATGTCTTTGTACACTAAATCTGGATTCTCCAGGCGAAAAGGTATATATGATATGCCCCTGACAAACATTTTCAAAACTAAGGGTCAAGTCATAGGTCGTAGTGACCTAATTCTTGCACTCTGCACTCTGCCATCCAAAGATGACATTGTACACAAAATCTGGTTACTCCAGGTGAAATAGTATAGAAGATGTGTCCCGGACAAACTTCTGGGATGGAAGGACGTACGGACGGACGGAGACGGAGTGCAAACCTATTGTACCCCCTAGTATTAGGTGGACAAATTGTAAAATCAGAATCGCTAATTATTCTATCATACATCACCATTTCTTCCAGATTGTACACTAGTGATTTTCACATAAATTTACTAGGCAAAACGGCGTCTGAAACATACTTTAGTACATAAATAAATCATATTTGCAAAGTATTCTCACAATATCAGGAATAAAACCGCATTGACAAAAATCATACAAACGATACATAAGTAGACGTTTCAGAAATACTAATTGGGTTAAATATTTTCTACTCATCCCACAAAGTCGATCATGGAACAAAAGTTTTCTTATATCAATGTTGGTTTCGATTAATGTCCATCCAATTTGTGAGTTAGCCATATCGGTTCTAGTCTTAGCACTGAAATCTTAAATAGATTTCATGATAAAATATTGAGCGCGTTCTAGTTTAATTAATTATGTTTTAGATATTTGCCATAATTCAAACCCATATAAAGCCAGACGGAAACTTTTGTCTTAATTATTTTGGCTACAGTTTATGGGCTGAGAGTTCTAGGGTGAGCACCGGACCTGCTAAGAGCCATTATACCTCTTTTTAATACGTCTAAAGTATAGATTTTACGTTTTTTTTTCATATGAATGACATTGACCCGAACTCAAATTGCTAACATAAACTTTATTTCATTTCTTTTTTTCATTTACAGTAAGATGTAAAGCAATACACAATTGTTGAAATTGTATTTGTAACCAAATTTTACAACTTAGGTAGATCCATCTCCAGTGGAAGAAATGCATATGAGATTTGAGGACCACATGTTTTATGACTATACTTTTTGAGAAATAAATAAGCAATGCGTTGAGTATATGAGTAAAAAAAACGGAAAATAAGGGAGGATAAGATAGGACTCAATGCATTTTCTTCATCTAACAACTCATCATCGCCAAACAGCAGTAATTTACTTGACATTGGACAAAAAGGCGGCAGCGTGACATAAAGGACTATCAACAAGGTTTCTACCATACAAGTAACGTTTTAGGGAGCTGCACTCCATTCTAAGTCTAGCATGGTGGACCTTATTTCTTGTTACTACCGATAAAGTAGAAAGGCGAGACTTTGTCCATTGGTCCATACAGGTACATATGTAATTTGCTATTTTTTTGTTGCCTGCAACGCGAGGCGACAAATAGGTACTACTTTGTCGGCGATCGTCGTTGGTTGCGTCGTCCGAAACAAGGTTCCGAGCGATAACTCGAGTTCTCTTGGGTTAATTTAGCTCAAACGCCATACAGTGTTTCCTTACTAAAAGTGCTTGCATGGGATTGCTTTTCATGTGCGAAGGTCAAAGGTCAAGGTCACTATAATTATAAATAGAAAACCTGTTTCCGTGCTTTAACTTGAGTTTCTCTTGGTTGATCGACCTCAGATTTTATACCGTGCTTCCTTACCAACAGTGCTTGCCTGGAATTGCTTTTCAGGTCCGAAGGTTAAAGGTCAAGGTCACCGTTACTATGAATAGAAAATTTGCTGCGCAGGCGACACATCCACTCCGGTTGAGTTCTCGTTAAATCAAGATGTAGAGGGGTCACCTTTTTTTGAGTCTGGCAAGGAGTTCCAAAGATCAATTACGGAAGTCAGGAAAGATTTCCTGTATAGACTAGCACGACATAAGATGACGAAAAATGTTTGCCTTCACTGGTATTGTAGTCGTGAATGATGTTGTTACGCCGAGGGAGAATATCTTCTAGGTAGTTCGGTACGAGACCATGGACCATTTTGTGAAAGTGGATTATCTTGTGATGTTTTCGCCTTTGCTAGAGAGGAAACCAGTCCGTTTAAAGGTAATGCTTAACTCTACTAGTGAGCCTAGTACCACCAGTTACTATACGTCCTACTTCCAGTTGGAGGTCTTCTAATAAGTCAGACTGGCATTTTGTAAGACAATAATGTCGAATAAGAGTGAAATACAAAGTTTGAAGACACCTAAGATCTCAGGTAAATTTAAATTTCCGTAAAATGTTAGTTTTTGGTGATATCTTTGATTTTAAATAGTTAATGTGTTCGATCCGACAACCATTTCAAGACAGAAGTTTCTGTTTTAGCAGGATTAGAATGTACCAACCATCTCTTGGACTATTCATGAATTTTAGTTAAGTCATCATTTATAATTCCGGCATTACTTCTTGGAGAATCGATGATGGTGTGCAAGGAAGTGTCATCTGCAAATAGCTTAATGATAGCATTAATGTCTTTTACAATATCATTAATAAAAATAAGAAACAAAAGGGGGCCCAATATGGAACCTTGTAGTGGAACCCCCAACTTTAACGTTTGACCAATTTGAACTTTTACCATAATAACAACTCTTTGTTTACGATTACAAAGACAATCTATTTTCAAACCAAATTAGTAGTGAACCCTGAATGCCAAAACAAGTTAGTTTACGAAAATGACATTAATGTCAAACACGGTCGAAAGCTTTGTTTATATCACAAAAAAACATTCTTATTTCTACATCATGAATGGTCCCAAGAAACTGATTGACGGGTGGATCGCCATGTCGAAATCCTGACTGGTTAGAAGATAAAAGGGAGTGGTCATGTAGGTACTTATAGATATACTTATAGACGCACCTGTCCATTAATTTTCAGACTATATATATAGTAGGGATATAGGTATGTAGTTAGTTAAAACGGACTTCTTTTTGTACACATGTGTGACATTTGCATTTTTCCATTCAGATGGAAACACCCCCGAGATAAGAGACTTGTTAAAGAGGACACTGAACGGGATACATAGAACATCTGCCGCTTCTTTAAGAAGTCAAGGATTCACAAGATCAGGACCGACAGCTTAGAACAATCAAGTCTAAGTATAGCATATTTTACATCGGTAGTAGATATGTTAATATTAGATAAAATATGGTTACATTCATCCACAATAGTTGATTGGGCACAGAAGAAGTCACTAAATAAGCAAGCTTTATCAAAGTCATCAGAGACAACAGTACCATTGAAAAGAAGGGGTGGTATACAGACTTTTCCAAAGTTTGGTAGTAATAATTGTACCGTTCTCCATCAATCTTTTGCATTGATAGTTTTAGGTTTTCAAGTATTTCACATATTTTTTTTATATTTGGCTTTAGCCTTCTTTATGGTGTTGACACATGTTTTACGATTTGACGGAAATTTGACCAGTTAGTATCGCTAAGAGAACGCTTGGCTCTATATAGTTTTACGTTTCCGAACTAATCTCCGAATTTCGTTAGACATCCAGGGAGGTTCATTTGATCTGACAGTTATAAGTTTGTTAGGAATACAAGTTTTACAAATTGTTATATTCAACCGATTGAGCTACTTGGAGTGTTGATTCAAACGACAGCTCACCAATGTAAGCGCACTCATATAGTGCTTTTCGCCCAGACTGTCTGAAATCGATTCCGCGATTGGACGCGAAAAGACATGAGGCCCAACAATGTGGTTTTCTCAAGATTATTAAAATAATTCTGTCGATACTGATATTTAGATTTGGAATTTTTATATACGATTTAAACTACATGACTTACATTTTTATTAAAATAAAAAAGGCGTGGGGGGAGCAAACTATAAAGTTGATTTTTTTACGAAGACTGAAAGACTAATTACATCGAGATAGTCTTTTGATATTTTGTAAATTGTTTATTTAACCTGCTTCAAATTATGCTTGCATGTAACGGTTGATTATACAAAATAAAGATTAGAAGAGCAATAATACCGCAAACTTTTACCTGTAAGTGTATATTATTACAGGATTTTTACATTTTGAAACTGGTCTATTTTTTCCGGATCTGCAAGGCGTACAAAATTTAGTATTTTATGTCTAAAAGCACAAGTTAACTTCGAAGTATTTAAACAGCCTCTTGCCGCGTACCTTTGCGTTTTGACGGGTTCTCAATGACTTCTCGATATAACCTCAAAAGTCCTCATTTCATTTCTCTCGCCGAACCGTTCCAGAAAAAAGTAGATACGGATGCATCACTAAAATACTAACAAAGAATTTTCAGACGTCATTTTTGTAGACATTTTGTTCGTAAGTTAAGAATAGTTTATTTTTTATTTTTTGCGTCTGTGTTCTGGTTTGGCTACAGCACGAACTTCATCTAATTCCGTGGCTATACCAGTAATAAAGGGCGTAGCTTGTGATACTCTGTTTACGTTAAATCGACAAAAAGTCAATCAGTTATTTGTATACGTCTCTTTTCTTGTGCGAAACAATATAGAAAACATATATATACAGTTCACGAAAGCTTTCATGATCCAATACAAAAAGATATTTGTGTTTTTATTTTTTATTTGTTGATTTATTTATTGGGTGGTTTTTTTTTAAATAGAATTATTACATATGTCTTAATACACACTTTAGCTTGTCTTGCGATTTTTACAAGGAAACCAAAAGAAAAAGATACAAGAGGAATGAGAGAGTGACAAATTCGACTGCAAGAGAGGAATGAGAAACAAAGAAGAATAGACGGAGAGACGACAGATGGACAGACACAGAGGAGAAAGTTCAGGTCAGAAATTACTCTGTTATATAGTGTTTCTGGGTAAGAGGGATACTCTAGTCAGTCTATGACAAAAGTAGAAATGTGTTAATAATCTTTTCTTAACAGTCTGGAAGTTCTGGAGTTTTTATCTTTATAAACGCATTGTGTTTCCGAATGTTAATTCGATGTAAATTAAAGATGAACGCATCGTAAAACAGCTTGCTTTTCACTCACACACATATATACTGTTTGATGATCAAAATGATGCTCTTTCGTCTTTCTTCATACCTGTCGATACATGTATATCATCGTTCATTTCATTTCATTTTACCTAGTCCGTAAATTTACTTCGGGATCTGTAAATTTACACAACCCAGTTGTACTTCAGTTAGGCAAAATTGTTGTTTCCTTTATCGGAACACCTCGCTCTTTATCATGTAACACCGTAAGCGAGGTCTATTTATACGACTACCGCGCCCTAAATAATTTCACTTCCTCGTCAATATCTTTGAGTACAACAACTTGCCAACACTTGTTTTCAATGAAACATCCTCATTATGATATTATTTTCATATTTTGATCTGACAATTGAGATGTTATGCCAAATAAAATCTGAATAACAGTCGAAAACCGGGTTACTAACTAATTGAATAGAGTTCGGCAGTTATGTCGTTAGGACCGTGAAACGGGTAAACTGCCTATTTTTTCGTGTTTGTGATTGTCGTGTTTAAAATACTGGATTAAAAGAAATCTATTATAGTTGATTAAAATAAGTTTGATAATGTGTTTTTTTCTCAGAGGTCAGTCAAATGAAGGTAATTAACGAAGAAAATATTCGAAACTTCGGATTAATCAAACATTTTGACTTTACGGGTTTTTTATAACCTGCATGAGGAAGCTGTTTAAAATTGATGATTTACCTGAAAATTTTATAATATCTGCAACTGATAATTAAACATACAATTTTAAAATAATTTTAAGACTTATATGTTATTTATTTGAATGACTTTAAAAAATCAAAACATTCGAAACTACGGATTAATTATTAACAGTGCCTCTATTTACAAAAGGGCGGTACCCGATTAAATCAGTTTACGCTTCTCACTCAAAGTGATTGCACTACCATCGTCATTCAGTTTGACGACCGCATAATTCAGGTTGCTAAAACAGAAGGGGAATCACCTATCGGGAATTCCCAAGCTGCATTGCGGGGGAAATTCCAAGTAATGTTCGATCGTGTTCCGCGAAACCAACAGTTCGGCAAAACGACACACACACCACGACCGTCTGTACGGCAAAACGACACACATGTATACCTAGACCGTCCGTGCGGCAATACGACACACATACCACGACCGTCCGTACGGCTCTCAATATATTGTTCTGGTTTGGTCATATTTTTGTTAAATAACATTACTTTTTGAGTCGCTATCACTCTTTTTTCTCTCCATTACAGGAGATCACAACCGATCAATATCTTATCAAAGAGTTGTTTCAAATGGTTAGTTATCAACATTAAAAGCCGGTTTAATTTGACCTATTTGTTTTTAGCAACGCGTTGACCTTTTGTTTAACCTTTGTAATGATATATTTAGTCGTGGTGGGAGGGTGTTGTTGTAGTTAAGTCTACCAGGAAGTTTAATTCGGTCCACATACCACGTTACGATAGGAATACTTGTTTGTGCGGCCTCACACAGGAAGAGGCCCAATAGAGGAACACGGATAATGTTGCATATCAATAACACGCTTCTATAAGAGAATGTTGACTTTCGGCATTTCTCAAGGATAAACAGTATTAAGAATTATTTTTTAACAATATTTTGACTCTTCCAATTTTGTCTAAAATGCGATTTATTAACCCTACCTTCCCTCACACAAAACTGATAAGACTGTGTTATCAACCTGAGCGATTAGGAATGTGTGTTTTGAGATATGGCCCTGAACCTTGTACTCCAGTTTTAAACATTCACATGACCCGTCTGTGTATACTGCTGTCGTTACACACCCGGCTGTGTACATACTGCGTTTAGGAGTGAGACCTGACTGAAGATAAAAAGGCCGATATTTTTATATTTTGATTAAAGAGCAACGATAATTTTTCTAAGGCTCAAAGCTTTAATACCGTGCATTGTTCACGGTTACATTCAAGTTGTACCAAACGACACTCACACACACAAAACTCGTCTGACTCATTCGGCTTTTCCAAGAACAAATCATGACACATCAACAGTACATATTAGGTGCGATTTACAATTAACCTTCAATAAATGGTTTCACGGAAATATGACGACAGACACACCGAACAATTGAGTATGTATTTCCCGATCATCAGGAAAACGAAACATGTCTGCAACAATTGGAAGGGCTAAGTACAAACAGGTGTCGGAAGTTTACACTGATCTCACGTCTGGTATATTTTCCGGAGTTCTATAATGACCAGGAAAATGCTAGTCACGATACCATTGTGCACGTGCATCAATGTCCGGCTATATATGTTATGTACACTTAACTCGAGAACCGTGTGACTAGGACGGTATTGTACGCTGGGGAAACGGATTTCCCCATCTGTATTCGTCATTGTTTCAGTTTATAGAACGACGAGCCCATTGATCAATTGTTTATATTTACTTGGAATGACAGACAATGACAATACATTAATGTGATTGATGAGTAAACAATCGATATATGCAAGGACGATGAAAGATATAACAACAGAATCACAAAACAAAACAAACAACAGGAACTACTTAAATAGATCAATATCATATGGTATGTTTCCTCCTTCCCTGTAACTGTGATGTAAACATGTATACATAAATATATATGGGGGGGGGGGATAAAGTGATAAGGATTCGAAACCTGGAGTCTGTCCAACGTCCGGGTCGGCTCCCTCTGATACCTCGAAACAGTCACCGTGTTCAAATTGTCAAATTTTGATAATGACAAGAATATTCAGAATCTTAAATGCCGCTAATTTAAGGTTTATGCTGGTTGATGCCCCCTTCTACACGAAATAGTTCCAAAATAAAACTGCATCTGTATCTTTTATGAATGGTAGCATATCATTTCTAGTTTTAGTAAGAACTTTAAGCTTTGATTACCATTATATGGCATAGCATTACTGGTTGCGTACTTTACCATTCTTTAATTATATAGAAAGAAATACGAGAAACAAAACTATATTTAGTAGCGTTATATATAAAACGTCTAAGCCAGAGTTACAACAGACGTGTGTTGGAGAACACGAACATTTGTCAAAGAATTGGCTGATACCGAAGTGTTTTATTTTGATATTTGTAATCAGAATAAATTTGAAAAGTTCTGTGTATTTAGTAATCAATTTTAACAGTTAGTATTTTCTCAACTTTCCGTTTAAATCTCTCCAACGTGAAATTGTCTGGAAACTTTCATCACACTTTTAGCAACTTTGGTGCTGTATCACGACTCTGGGCTTCCATACAAAAACTTTTTCAATGTCATTTGAAGGACATTGTAAACGACATGAGTAATATATATGCATATTCATTGCGTCCTGTGTCAAGTAGGTCTGGCCCACGTAGATAAAACACTGAGGTAGATCGTATCATCAAACACAAGTGATAAGGATTCGAAACTTGGAGTCTGTCCAACGTCCGGGTTCGGCTCCCTCTGATACCTCGAAACAGTCACCGTGTTCAAATTGTCAAATTTTGATAACGACAAGAAAAATCAGAATCATAAATGCCGCTTACTTAAGGTTTATGCTGGCTGATGCCCCCCTTCTTTACAAAAGAGTTCCAAAATAAAACTGTATCTGTATCTTTTTATGAATGGTAGCATATAATTTCTAATTTGAGTGAAAACAAATCTGTAATGTATGTCTTATACAGGAGAATAGGACAATGTGATAGTTTTAGTTATTAGGAATCTAATTTAAAGTTTTTAATGACATAATTCTTTTACAAATCACAGGTATGTTGTGTAAGGCAACATTTTCCATCAGTTGCAGGTTGTATATGCATTAACGTAATCAAATAAACCTAATTTAGGAAATGTTTTGACATCAGTTTAAGACGCCATGTCCAATCTTTACAAGAAGTCCTATATAGTAAGTTTTAGAGTTAAAAGCATATCTTTCCTCCTCTTACAAGCTCTTGAATATATTGTGTAAAGAGTTCACTTGATTTCATACTTTGTTATGTGTACAAGTTACTAACGTAAATCAAGTAAGTAGAGACGGGCCAGACTTGATTTAGGAGATGGGGTAGGCATGGGTTTGCAGAAAAGAATGTAAGAGTTTTGAGCAAAAATAGACAAATTGATGGAGCTATTGGAAATTTATGAGAGAACATTTTCTTGTACGACGTTCATATACACGAAACTTCTATCAGTACAGAAAGGCCTGAGTATCACATAGATGCAAAGGTCTGGTCCACGTAGATCAAACACTCAGATAGAACGTATCACCAAATACAAGTGATAATCGTCCGGGTTCGGCTCCCTCTGATACCTCGAAACTGTCACCGTGTTCAAATTGTCAAATTTTGATAATGACAAGAAAATTCAGAATCATAAATGCCGCTTACTTAAGGTTTATGCTGGCTGATGCCCCCCTTCTTCACGAAAGAGTTCCAAAATAAAACTGTATCTGTATCGTTTTATGAATGGTAGAAAATAATTTCTAATTTGAGTAAAAACACATCTGTAATGCATGTCTTATACACGAGAGTAGGACACTGTGATAGTTTTAGTTATTAGGAAGCTAATTTAAAGTTTTTAATGACATACTTCTATTACAAATCACAGGTATGTTGTGTAATGCAACATTCTCCATCAGTTGCAGGATGTATATGTAGTAGTGTTAAGAAACAAAACCTTATATGAAATGTTTTGACATCAGGTTAAGATGTCAGGTCTGATCTTTACAAGAAGCCCTACATGATAAATTTCAGAGTTGACAGCAAATATTGCCTCCTCTTACATGTACATGCTCTTGGATATATTGTGTAAAGAGTTTACTTGTTATTACTGTAAATCACTAAGTAAAG